CCTCCCCCACCAAAGAAAAGAAATTTAAAAATCATGTCCCATTCTCGGATCCAGTTATTCTTGTATTTATATTGAGTGTCCTTTCCTCTATGAATATCTAGGATATTATAATTGATCTACCAGAGTATGGTCTTACCTTTAGGAGCCTGTGAGAGCGCCAATGTACGCACGAGATGGTCTATCCCAGCTTTGCTCATCTGGTAGATCTCCATAACCGGAAGTGGGTGTGACGTCAAGCTAGAGGACACGCACACAACATTCCCCTTGGTCTTCTCCAAATAAGGCAAGGCTTCTTGAATGAGAAAATACACAGCCTTCAAATTGGTGTTGATGATTAAATCAAACATCTCCTCCGTATCAGTCACGATGCTAGACGAAGGACAAACGCCGGCGTTAGGAACCAACACATCGAGTTTTCCAAATGTCTCAACAGTTTTTGCGACGATTTCTTTCCGAGCTTTTTCTTCCGTGACGTCACCGGCCACGCACACGAACCTCCCCGAGGCCCCTCCACTCACCTCTATACATTTGTTCAGGGTTTCTTCCAGCCGTTTCTCGTCCCGCCCACAAAGTGTGACCATAGCACCCTTGCGAGCAAACAGCAGCGCGATAGCTTCACCGATTCCGGAATTGGAACCGGTGACTATCACTGCCTTGCCCTCGAAACTTTTGCACGACATTGTGATGTTATCTGAATTTAAAACACAGGGAAGCAATTTTTTTTAGATGATTTCCAATACAGGACAGCAACTTAAAGATTTTGTCAAACTCAGGGAAGCGACTTTTAGATTATGTCCTCAAACAGGAAAAGCGACTTAAAGATTATGATATCAAAAGTCAGCAAAGTGACTTTTAGATGGAATCCAAAAAACAGGAAAGCAACGTAAAGATTATGTCAAGCACATAAAGCGTCTTTTAGTTTTAGATGACATTCAAAACACAAAACAGGAAAGTGACTTCTCGCATCGTCGTCTTTCGATGACGATTAAAAACGCTCTATTTTCGGGCACGTTTTAAAAAAGGGGCATAACTTTGCTATTTATTGAGATTTTGCAATTCTGTGTTATTTATCCGACACCTGAAAGTGCAAGTAACAACATGCGTACCGTGAAATAAGCTAATTGTGAGTTCCTGATTTACGGGTGAAGGTTCGGAATGTGCCTCAAGATTACCTTTAGTCTGTTGCAGATCAACAATTTGTTCGGTACATCCACAATATGGTCTTTTTATGGCAGTAAGTATAAACGCAATAGAAATTTATTATTTTCAGATCAGACTGAACTAGACACGTAAAGCTGATAACACAGTTCACTGCACTGGATGTTAATGAACGTCCTGGGAATTTTTCAAGTTCTAAACTTCACGATTGTATTGTATTCCAGTTTTGGTGATGTCGTGAAAAGGGCATTTTAAAAAGGCTGCATTCATCTAAAATCTGAAACATTTTAGCACTAGAGTGATTAATTGCACCACCTGCTGTTGATGTTTTGTGTGCCTTTTAATTATCCCCACTCATCCCCCCCCCCTCTTCTTCTCCCCTCTCCCTACCCCCGCCTCTGACACTCATCCTACCTGACACAATGAGGTGAGAGTGAAGGTAGTGGTGGCTCTAATGAGTTCTCATTTTGGACAGAAACTGTGTATGCCCTTCATTTCAAGGCGATTTCCCAACCCTACTAATTGGTCATTTGATCAGTGGCGGTGGGTGGACCAAAATTTGGGTGGGGCTTGGATTGCTTTCACTTCTTTACCTCTAAATAGCAAGCAATAAGAACAAAACAATGGTGATTTTTCCATACTCACGGCGAGCCACGGCATTTTGAGAACAATTCAAACGAGAAGAGTCACCTTTGCCTTCCTTCTCTTTGTTCTACGTTAAATTCTTCTGGATGCTGGGGACGAAACCTCCAAACGTCTTTGATTAATTTTCATCTGATGAAAAAGTTGCCTCAAAAGGGGTTTGATGTAATTAATAACTGTTAAATCTCAGCGGCACACACACAAACATTTATACACAGCACTCCACGAGCTGGATTAGGCCGTGTAGTCGAGGAAAGTAGACAGCACCTAACAAAGGTCCAATGGGAGCGTAGGTAACTGTGTCACTAGGGGAAAGTGTGTCGTAAACTTTCACCCCTTTGTCATGGCTAGGACAGGGTGAGCCCTCGGTGCAGTGTTATTTTTTTCAAGTCGTCTACCTTTTTACAAGAAGAGTTTCATTAACGAGGGCCCGTGGGAACCGGCTCATCTTTGCTGAGCCCTAAAGACATTTGATTGGCTGTTAGGTTACTATAGTTGTAAGCGGGGACAACAGTGATTGGATACACGAGCAAGCAGGCAAGTTGATTACTCTGTGTTTATTCCGTACGATCATAACGGTTTCAACTGCTTATTTCGTTATTTTCATTTGCTTTGGAATAGAGTTGGGGGTGGGGGGTGGGGAGGTGGGGGGGCTCAAGCCCGCGAGCCCTTCACTACCCACCGCCACTGCATTTGATTTAAAAACTTAGTTCCAATATTAAGTCATAGACATCGTTGCGGCCTGATAGGCGCCTTCCAGTTTCATCACGCCAGGTAAACGAAAAAAAAAAGCATGATATCAGTCCATTATATATAGAGGTTCAAGTCCGCCAGTGCTCTCCATCAGGGGCCGTGGAACAAAAAACGAGTCTGCACACCCGCCTACAAGGGACGCAAATCCCCACTGATGGGTGTCATTGCTGCGACTTTGATATGCGGGTGGAACCTTTTCGTAGAGCTCTGTGTCTTGTGCCCGTCTCTCTTTCGAATAGGCTGCCGATTGTCGAGCCTTTGAAAAAAAAAACATAAAAGAAAAAAAAACCCAACAACAACCCCGCGTACTCATTGTATGAAGTTCATCTACAATATGAATAACAAAGAAAAAAAAACAACCCAACCCCCCAACAACAACCAACACACAAACAAACAAACAAACAAACAACTAAGAAACCAACAAACAAAAACAAAGACAAAAACAGATAACCCAAGTCTATTTATTCTAGATAGTATATTAAACAAAAGACAGACACAATAAAATCTAGAATAAGTTTCAAACCACCTGCCTTCTGCAACTGTAAATTGCATAAGAAAAATGAAGCATAAAAATACAACAACAAAACAAAATGTGGTCTTAATGGCCCCATAATGTAGGATACATATCGTCATGCGTCAGTTCCACCAGAAAGATACACATTATGTTCCTCGCAATTTACCGATGGCATTTTAACGGTCGTAAATTGCGCGGCAATCTAATGCGCAATCTTTAGATTAAAAATTAGATTGCGCAGCACGTTTTAAAGTTTTAACGATTGTATTATTGTATCATTCTTTTGAGCTCTTCAGTTTTATATCTTAATTTCAAATTTTAAATAACATAGTTTTACACTTTTGAAAATATAGGCTACGTGAATGTTCCTTGATGTGAATAAAAGAATAAAAATGGAAGGGAATTAAAAAACACAAAATAAAGTAAAATATATAATAAATGAAATATACTTTGAACTACATGTACTTGTGAACTTTGCGTTTGACACCTGGCATTGTATCTTTCTTGTTAGCTCTTCACTTTCATACGTTAATTTTAATATTAATTTTGATTTTCACATCGTTACTCTTTTAAAAATAATATAAATATGTGAATGTTCCTTGGTGTGAGAAAAATACCTGGCTCTGTATCATTCTTGTGAGCTCTTCATAAACCTAAAATATTAACGTAATCTTCAGATTTTGGCGCAACTATACGATCGTTAAAACGCGCAGCAAGATTGCGCCGATCGCTAAATTGCGCGGAACACAATACATATTGATACCCCATTAACACTGACACGCTGACGCAGGAAGGGTGTACACGTTTTTAGAAGAACGAAGAGTCGCGAAAAGCATTCTCCTCTTTGCGCTCAACTTGTAAATGGCCAAAAAAGGAAAGTACTCACATCAAATTCCAAATTCAACTATACATGGACAGATGTCCCACTTTTTTTTTCGTTTACAAGTCGTGATAAAACTGAAATGCACCTATCAGACCGTAACGATGTCTACGAATATAGACATTATGGGGACTAAGGTTTTGAAACAACTGGCCAGTTAATGGGGTTGTGGAATTGAATTGCCTGGTATATCAATTCAAGCACTATGGCAGCATTATCTTCAAAGCCGTAAACTGTATCGACGACGTCCATCAAAGAGCTAAAATTAATCTGGTCTTTTGTTCTAGGCTCAGCTCTATAACAGTATAAAATTTGATAATTATAATTATATAGCCTAATCAGTGAAGATTTTATAATGTACACAATAACTATATAATTGTGACCCCCACCCCCTCCTTCAATACCATACGCACGCACACACACACGTGCGCACACACACACG